GCGCTGGCGCGCGCGCGCCTTCGACGGCGAGTCCTCGGCCAGCGTCGAGTAGTTGGCGTTCATCTGCGCCGGGTAGTAGTGCTCCGAGCTCGAGTGGCTGGTGCACGACGAGCAGTCGTCCATGGGGTCCGAGCCGTTGCTGCTACGAGTCCGTGGCGTGTAGAAGTCGGGGCTCCCCGTGTCGTTCTCCGAGCCCAGGAGCTTGCCCTGGGACTCCAAGCTGGAGCTCCGGTGCCTAAAGTGCAGGGCCAGGCTGTGCAGCCGCGTGGGGCTGAGGTCCACCGACCTGCGGGGAGACGGCTGGGTGGGCCTGGGGGCTCCCCGGGGACGGGGTGGAGGCCCTGCGATCACCGACTCGGGAGAGAGCACACGATGCCTCGCGGCCCAGGGCCTCCCGCAAATGCGCATCTGGGAAAGTCGTGCCCTGGGAATCCAAGGGCTTCCCATGGCTCCCAGATGAAGGCGGGGCGGGAGGGGGCGGGAGGGGACTACGGATCAGGAGGCGAGCCTCTGCTGTGATTTTTGATTCTGAGCAGGGGATGGGGACACAGGACGGCGCCCATATAAGGGTTTCTAATGAAAAAAGTATTGCCAATAGCCACGACCCCCCCCCTTTTAAGGTGGAGAGGGATTCTACAGACACAGAGAACCAAGAGAACCCCTGTTCCAGTGTTACGGTAAACCAGATGAAGTGCCTGTTTCGTAGGTCCAGAAACAGCCCAGCAGAAGCATTCATGTGGTTCCACCCAGTACTATTATGAAAGCCATGTAAACAGATTTCCATGTCCCTGTGAACGCCAGTCTAACACGGAAGGCTGGTGGAACACAGAAGACTTAGTAATGACTGATACAGATACTGGGCTTTCCACTATTTTGTCTACAATCCATTCTGCTTATTTGAGCCACACAGTAAATGTCCATCATGACGGCCCGAGGCAGCGTGAAAGGACTCCAGAGAAATTCACCATGGCTGGGTCGGCCACGTACAGGAAGAGGTGAGTCCAGGGCTGACTGTCACTCAGGGTGGACTGTGAAGTCCCCACCACGTGGCCCTCCTTGACTCAGGCTGGGTTTCCTCTCTGGTCCTACCCCTCTCCACCACTCTGTTCTGGCCACATCGGCCCCCTGCGAACATGCCAAGTGCAGGCCTGCGTCTGGGGCTTTGACCTTGCTGTCTCCCGAGTACCCTTAGCGCTTGCTACCCCATCCATCCAGGTACCTCTGCTCAAATGTCACCTTATTACAGAAACCTCCGATGCTCCCATTTAAGTACTCTCTCCCTTCACTCTCTAGCCCCCTTGCCCTGTTCATTTTTCTTCTCAATACTTACCACTTCTGACTATTTCTTTGCTGTGACTCTCTACCTACTAAAACGTCAGCCTGATGAGAGCATGTGTGTGGTCTGTTTTGTCCACTGCTCTATGCCCAGGAATAGTACCCGGTACGTACAGGCACTTGATAAATATTTGTTGCAGGAACGAGTGAATGAATGAATGAACGAGAGACCCTTGCCTGGAGAGCTCAATCTTATCCCGTATAAATGGTCCACCACTGACAGAAGATCACACCATCCGTCCCTTCCAGCTACACTCCCTGTGCACTTAGTTTTAGAGAAAATGGAGTGATGGCTTTGGTTTTGCCTCTTTTTAGAAAAGGAAGGTGTGATTCACTGAAGCCTCACTTTTGCCCATTTCTCTTGCTCTTTAATGAATTTACACCTTGGGGCGTTAAAGCTAGTCCAGGATAAACTAACGCTCCAATAGAAAGATACATGAGGACTTGCCAATAAAGATCCCCCCAGCAGGGAAGGCAAGGTTGTTCTGGTCCCGGCACAGCCCTCTCTCCCGGCTGATCTGGCTACCCTTCCTGCCTCAGTTTCAGTTAAGAAAGCACTTTCTATGCCCGCTGTCTCCGGGGGATCCTCTGACCAACTGGTGCCCACTGGATGGGGGCAGAGGGATATAATGGGTCTCTTGGCTAGCGTGGGCTTCCTCCTGCCAGCTTGGATTTTGATTCTGCTTCACTTTAAGAAGAACCCACCTCGTTGGCTCAGTCCTGACTCTAGTTCACCAGTTATCTGGGCCCATCTGGGGCCAGCCATGCCAAATTTTATAAAGGAAGGTCTGGGCTAGGGAGGGAGGGGGTGGACTCACCTCGTGGAATGAACGTAGTGGGGGCTGCGGACTCGTAGGTCGGGTGTGGATGGCATGCTGGACTGCGAGTTCCAGTGCGGGAGGCTGCGGATGGGGCTGTTCTGCAGGGAGCTGCTGCCCCCGCCGGCTTCGGCACAGCTCCCTGTGCTGGGGAAGCGCTTGTGGCTGCTGGAAACCGGAGGAGGATGCGCTGGTCACTGCCAGACAGACACGCACCCCTCCCAGGTAGCTGACTGTGACCTTGGGGCATCAATGTTGGTATTGGGGAAGCTTCCCCAGGACTCCCACCCTTGGCCCTCAGAAGTGGGTGGGGGTCCTTATCCCTGACCTCCAGGGCAATGGGAAATGGAGACCCTCACCAGCTCTCTCTGGAACAGGCAGTGTGACTGTTCTGTGAAGCCCTTGCTCTCAACCACAGTTTCTGTTTTCCAAGAGACAAACAAGTACCTGTCTGGGCACCCACTGGGAGCTTTATAGGGTATAATGTAAGGAAATGAGAAGAACAGAGAAGCAGACCAAAAACGTCTTCCCGAACTGCTCTCTCCAACATCAGCTGAATAATGAGCTGATAATACACAGCTAAGATTACAGCTGTTTGGCTCTGAATTCTGTTGGATGATGGCTTAGGGTTCTGAGCCCCTTTGGGATGCTTCTGAGTGGACTCTCATTTGCCCCTTCAGAACAGTGCTGCCTGAGATTTCCTAATGAATTCCCAAGGACGTTAACAACATTCAAGCCAGCGGCCAACGCGTGGACCGTGAACCAAAACCCCCATTTCCCTGTCAGTGACAAACCCGCACCTGGAGCGGGTCGGCAGCAGAGGGCGCTGTGGGCACAGCCCAGGGAGGTGCTCCCGGGGTGGTGGGGATCTGTGAGTGGCGGATGCTACCCGGGACAGCCCTGGGATTCTTCCCAAGAGCGGACTGTGATCTCGTGGGGTCTTCCCGGCCCAGCTCACCTGGAGTGACTGTGGGAGGAACGTTTCTTGACCTTCTCGTAAGGCTCATCTAAAGAGGACTCGCTCCACATTTTGGGCTTGATGGGCGACTTGTCATAGTCGTTGCGGTGATAGTGCGTCTGCCTGAGTCCCTCCAGGGACTGGGGCGGAGGCGGCCTGTTGTGCGACGGCGGCCGAGGAGGAAGTCCCTTGTGAGGGGACTGTAAGGGGGACAGTGTGCTGGTGACCTGAGAGTCTTCTGCACAAAGATGGAAAGAGAGGACGTGAGCAAGGGTCATCCTTCCCACTGTCCAGACAGACCCCGCCCACCTCCTCCCAGACACCAGAGCCTGGGAGCAGACTTGCCCCCAAGGCATCCTGGCTTCGAACCCCCGCCCCTTCCCCCGTCACTAAGACAAGTCAAGTCAAACCAGAACACACCAAGTCTAAACGTCAGGGCAGCATTAAACAGGAGGAGAAATGTCACTTCTGATTAGTGACAAATGGAGTGAAGCCTCAGTTTCATTCAATACCAACGACAAACGGTTGCTTCATACCAACACCAAAGGGGGGGTCATCATTATGTTCCAAGTTTTCTTTTAATAGACAGGAGGCATCTACTCTGCTTTGGGGGAGCTTCAGACCTATGATGGTCTATTCTGTTCAGTGCTATCGCCTCGGTGCCTAGAATGACTGTTGACACAGTACGTGCTCAGTAAATACTTGTTGGAAAAAATGAATGAAAGTCTACCTGTCAACTGTCATCTGCTGGTGGCTCTGGGCATCCACTCTCTCTGCTTTTTATCAGAACTACCTATCTTGTCTTTTAATATTTTCCTGTGTGATACTTTCATATTGGAAACGCCTTAGGTTCCGTGGGAGGCGCTACAAGTATTAAATATGCATAGAAGATTATTCCCTGTCTTCAGGGGAGTGATGATCTCACACTGCTGTGCTGGGGGCAGGGCCGGGAGAGGGGAGGAGGCAGGGAGGAGCCCAGGGCCAGGCCCCACAGGGGCTGTGGCTGGTGAGGAGGCCCAGAGGAAGAGAGGGGAGGGTCCTGGTCAAGTTCAAGTGCAGCAGACCTGCTGTGAGCTCTGAGATAAGCTAGGAGCCCTCGCTGACAGGGAGCCTTCAATTCCAGGATAAGGAGTCAGCATTTGGTCTGAAAGCCCCTGGAAAACACCGCAACAGTTTAAGCCCAGATGTGTCGGGATAAAAATCCTGTTTGAGGACTAGTCTTCTGGCAGGGCCAGGAGAGGGGCTCGGGATGGGTTCAGGGAGACACCTAGGGTTGAGAGCCCAGGGGAGGGCGGCCTTGAGCAGAGAGTGGCAGGAAAAATTCAGTGTTCACTGTGAAGGCAGAGGTGGGAGAAAAATACACAGCAGCCAACCTCAAACTCCACCGGCCTTTCACTTGGCTCTAAATCATTTTCAACTAGTCTGCTCTTCAGGGCCAAATTCTCCATCCTCCAACCTTGAAACCTGGGGACACGCTACAGTTCCGCTCCTGTACCCCTCAAATCCGTAAAGAAAAGAGCCTGGAAGGAGCAAGCAGGCGATGGGAGTGGGGGCCCCAGTGAGGCAACAGTGCCCCTTGGGAGGTGCGGGGTCTGGAACATGGGGAGGAAACTGATCACAAGGGATGCATCAAGATCAGCCAGCAACAGTCTACACCTCCCCCAACTCATCTCTGCAAAGGCATCTCCTTCAAATGTTCCGGTTCCCTCCCCTGCGGAGACTGAAGTCCACAGAGGCCCAAACAAGGGCTGGATCTCTGATGTTCAGAACACGCCCCCTGCCCCCGCAGGTCCATCATCTCCTCCCACCCGTGTAACGGATGAAAATACAACGATCTGACTGCGAACAGCATGGCCCAGACTACTGGGTAAATACCCCGCCAGCCTTTCCCCACATCAGTGACCATGATGACTATCCTTGCAATTATCATTATGACTCTGAGCCAGGTAGGTCTTTCATGTTTTCCACCTGAATAGCCACTTATCACTGCCTACCTGAAGTTTCCCGAAAGGGCAAAAAAAGTAATTGCCACTGAAATATATTTCCACATCCTTAATGCCCTGACCTCCCCAGTTTGGGTTTAAATCCATGGCAACATTCTCGGAGATGGTTCTGTGTTTGCAATTCCTTCTTCCCTGATGTAAGGTGGTGATGGAGATGGTGATGATGATGGTGGTGGTGGTAATGGAGGTGGTGATGACAGTGGTGGTGGTGATGGTGATGGAGATGGTAATGAT